ATTTCCTTGCTTTCTTTCCTTGCAGAGCATGACCTCCTGCGGCAGGAGCTGAACAACCGTTTCCTGGTTCAGAGTTCAGAGCGGGGCCGGGGGCAGCCATCCTCGCAGCTGGCCCCCGTGTCAAACCCGAGGGCCGAGTTTCACCAACACCAGCACATGCACCAGCACCAACACACCCACCAGCACACCTTTACGCCCTTCCCCGCCAGTTTGCCCCCGGCTGCCGTCCTCACTCCGCCCACAGCACCTCCCATGGTGCGTACCCCAGCCAGAAATGTGAGGATAAGTAAAAACAAAAAAAGAGAGAGAATAGCCCCCCCCACCATGACACCTCCCACCTGTCCAACCTCCCACTCCTCCAGACCCCTCCACCCCCTTCAATGGAGCTGACGTTCTTCTTCAGTGGTGTCGGTTTACAAGATGAATCCAGTTGAAGTCTTTGTCAGCTTTAAACATGTAGCTCCCCCTTGTAGCCAGTAGGTGGTGCTAACCCGTTCGTAATTAAATACCCAAGGGGAAAAAAAAAACAGTACGACTGGTTACTGGACATAACGAGTGACGAAATGTTAGCCTCCAGAACGTTAGCTTGTATGCTAATACTAGTGTTAGTTTTCTTCTGATTGTCTGTTTTCAAGGCTCGGCTAAGCTAATTTTGCTAACACCCTTCTTCTCTTACTGCCACCTATGGGTGTTTTTTTTACACTGATAAATGTTTTCAGTTGACAGCGTGACATCGTTGCCCCCGTGTGGTGATGCGTATCGAATCGCCAGATTCTTGCAAAACACGCCGCCTGCGTAGTTTGGTAACCATGGAAACCCGGTTGTCTTCGTCCCCAACCGACGTCCAAGAAAACACTCAGTTTGCCGAGTTGGAAAAAAAGTTGGTTTTTTTTGTCGTGAGATAAAAGAGATAAAATTAAGAAGAAAAAAAAACGCCGTCTGTGTTCAAGGACTGGTTCAAGGACCTGTTCAAGGACAGCGGAAGGTTGCCAGATTATTTGCAGACTTTAAGGAGTTTCAGATTAGTTCCCTTCACCGACGTCTTCTCTGGTGTCTCCATGGTTCTACCGGTCCTCCATTGGATTAAAGG